CCTGCTTAAGACAAAACCCTTATCTTTGTCCCATTGATGTCAGCCTCTCTGTTCCCTCCACTCCTGAGGACAGACCAGCAGCTCTCATTTTCATTGCCTTGGAAGCACTTATCCCCAAACAGACCAGAGAGTTCCCTAAGGAAAAGCTGAGGCTGGAAAGCAGTGATTGCACTTGGGAAAAGACACATTGCCACAACTTACTGCCTGAACTCCCCCAGAAGGTCCCACTAGGGAAGAGCCTGGGTGGGTGGTGAGAGCCACAGGGGAGTTCAGACAATTTGGCACAGATTAGTTCCAAGAAGACAGCAGTCAGTAAGGGATGTCAGTTTGGCAGCTCTGAACAATATGAAGTTCACAGGCGAGACTTTTCTGCCCCTGTAGCACTGTCTCATTGATTTGCAAAGTGAAACTGTGTCAGTTGCAGTGGAGACTTGGCTCTGCATGTAGTTAAAAAATGAATAAACAAAAAGCCAGTGCAGAGGATTTAAAGCCAAGGTCTCCTTATGCAAGTGTTGATAAGTGCTTTGTGGAAACAGGCTATTTGAGCAGTCACAGTTCCTCTGCAAGCACTGAACAGCACTTGGATTATGCCAGCTAAATAACAGTGTAACATGATGTTTTCTTTTGAAGACACACTCCCAGTGTCAATATCATAGTCTGTTAGAGCAGCTGTATATCAGACAGGCTCCTCAGTGCCTCATGATTACATGTCCCTGTACAGGACCAACACACTGACAGCAGCAGTTGAAATGAACCTATTGTCTTCTTGGATCAATGGTGCTGTTACCTGCAAAAGTGCTTTTTATTAACAGGTATATTTTCTACTTCACCTAGTGGTCACAGGACTACTATAAACACATGAATGTTTGGGACAAGCCACCTCCACAGCACTGATTCTGCCGCAGCACATTCCCCAAAGCATCGCCAACACCATGAAGTGTGGAGCCATTAAGGTGACTGGACTGATGGGTTGTTTTTTCCCAAATTTTCCACAGTCTGGAGGAGTTCTCTCCCCCAGCACTGCTCACTCCCCCCTGTCTTTTCTTTCATCTTCTTTTCACTTCCTTTCTTCACTGTAATAACCCTTCATTCCAAGATCTCCTTTTATTTCTCTGGTAAAACATTAAAACAAAAAGACAACTACAGAAAAATCAGGGCAATAACCAGAGAACGGTGAACTGTCACACTGGTCACCTTTGGGTTTTGTTCAGTGAAAAAAATGTCGCATTTTCATTGCCCAAAAGCAGGCCCTGATTTCATCTAGCACTCTTATACGTTCAAGATTACACAGAAATATGTTACTAATCTATTAATTTCAGAGCCAGTTTCTATCTTTACCGTAAGTAATAGTTTATTTGTGGAATTACTTCTCAAACAATACCTTTTGGATCTGAATTCCTCTTAACTTTGGGAATATGGTCAAATCCAGGGTACCATGTGAGGTAAATTTCTACATTTTTACAGCTTCACACACAGTTCAACACTACTGCAGATCCCAGGGTGATCGGGGCATATTCCAGGTGCCTCTGCACTGGCTGCCTAGACCTTTGCTGATTTGTGCTAAATCTTTCATTTCAGTTTCATGCTGTTATTCTCTTTGTCTGTCATCAGACTTTGCAGGTGACTCCCTCCCTGAGGAAACTGTGATTTCTTTTGCTATTAAACTTAAAACTTAACTACAGTGATTATTTTCTGCAATGGTGAGAATTTTCTCAGCCTTCACACTCAGCATGTATGTGGCTGGTGAGAAAACCAATTACCTGTATAAATATAAATGCTCACATTTAATTGAAGCTTCCCATGCAAGCCACATTCTCGTGATTGCTAGACTGTCTAAGCTTTTTTCAGTGGGAGCACCTGTGATTTAGAGTGGAGCATTTCAAAGCATGAAGACAATAAGCCCCATTCTTCGTGATTCTTTAGACATGACAACTTGCTTATTACATCCCAAATAAAGTAAAAGTGATGTTTATTCTTCTTTCACCAGTCTATTCAGAAAGGCCTTGAAATTCTAAATAACAAAATGTGCTAGCATTTTCAATCTGTACTGATACTTTATTGCTTTCAGTTTGATTTCTAGTTTAATTGGGGGGTAAGCGGGTGTTCATTTGATACCTCTGCTTTTCTCAAACTTTGTTGCTTTTCCCTGTACCTGTGCTCTCCCTCACAACAGAACGGCTGTAGCCAGTCTGACAGCATTACTTCCCCTACCCCAAAAGCTGGGGGCTTATGATGCAAGACAGCTTAGTGGTGAATTGCAACATTAAGAACTTGAACTGAAGCAAGCTTGCAAAGAAGCAGTTAGAACAAGCATATAACACCCCAGAAAAGTAAATACACTTTGGGGTTTATCCACCCGATGAACAGGATATTTACTCTGCGCAGAAGTAGTGCCCCAGGATTTACAAACAATTCACTAACCTATGCGAGAGAGAAAGAAGTCACAGCTGGTAGGTTTACACTGCATTTTGAAAACTGTTCTTTAAGAGTGGCAGAGGTCCAGATGAAGAGATCGTACCGCTGCAGGAATAAAAGTCATAAGGCTCAGTTTACTCCGTGCGTGTAGACGTAAAAAAGTTAGAACCTGGCTCAGAAACCACCTGCAGCCCTCCCCGCACGCTTCCAGCGCCTGAGCTCCCTCCAGCCCGACCCAGGCTGCCCTCGGGCACCGCGGGCTGCGCTGCCTGCCCCGTCCCTGGCAGGGACCAGCCCGGAGGCGGGAGGGACCCGTCGCCACCCCTGTCGCCCTGCAGGTCGCTTGCCACCAGGGGTCAGCACCGGATCAACGCCGGAGGCTGCCGGGTGCCGCTGGACGGAGCAGGACCGCGGGAGCGGGGGAGAGGGGGGTCCGCAGGGCGCCGGGGCAGGGTCCCTCTCGCCCTGGGCACAGGTGACACCAAAGAAGTAGGAGTAACAGGCAGACGGCTACACTGCGCCCCCCGTGGGCTCGTCAGGTAGCTCCCAGCACGAACCGGACAGCACACCATCATTGATTGTTCCACGAAAGGGCACACAGAGATATACTTACATTAGCCAAGAAAATAAGCAGCTGCTAGTTTGCTGGAAATGAAAAAAGTTAACAGTGGCAAGGAAGAAGAGTCTGTTGATTTAGAGCATTTCTGTATCTCGTCCCTAAAGAGACTGCTCTGCAATAATAAAAATATTACAAAGTTAACCAAGCAAGGCAGTGGGGTGGGCAAGCCTCTTTCTGAACATGCTTAGTGCAAGCAGGACATGGTGCTGTCAGTGGGACTACTCAGACAAGGCATGCCACAAAGGGCCTGAGGATGTTCCATCCTTTTTGTCTTCTCAAAAAGTAAATATTTAGCAACACATCTCATTTTATATTTGCTGAGCTCAACTTGGTGACAATGTAGAAATCTGAAATGTTTTTTGGTTGTTTTTCAATAACATATTGTTTGAGCTCTGATCTGAGCTTTAATCTGTTTCAGTAACAAATTCAAGACTTATTTCCCAAATGTTTCCAATGGGACAATGATGCTTGTTTGGCATCCAGAAGACATGCTCATAACGGGACATTTGAACTCCTTGTGTAGCTGTTTACTTCATGGGCCCATTTACCTTGTCTTCACTGGTGATGTCTGCTGATCTAATGTCCCATATTTAAAAATATTTTTGGTATATCTGTAAGACAAAACAGAAGTGCTCAAAGCAGCGCACAGCACTCTAAGAAGTGGATAGATCAGATACGCTTCAGTAGGGCAAACAGCTTTTATTACAGACTAAATAGTTTAGGATTATTCCAGCCAAGAGACAAGCTGAAATAGATGAATGGATTGTCCCACTGCTGCTCCATCATGCCCAGTGACATTCTAAAACTTCCCAGAAACCAGTGCTTTCCTGAGCTGTGCCAGGGACTGTGGAAAGGTTTGTGGAGGAACTTTCACCTTTGTAACTTAGCAAAGGAGTTATGTGAATGCTAGCACTCCCGTGCTCAGATCTTAAACCAATTTAGTGCATTTAACTGCTGCTAAACTGGTTCATGACACCAGATCTAAGTACCTGGAATCACTTGTTGCAGAGATGACATCTTCCATATGTAAATTTATACAATGTATCTATATGGCTTATTGCTAACAAAAAATTTTACAGGCATTCATTTGCAAGTGGTTACTAATATGAACATGCAAGATCCAGTGCAAAGTTCAATTCAGAGTTTTCTTTATTAAAATACCTTTTCACATTCCTTATACTAATGCATTTGTATGGACGCTCATGGGATGCTAGAAAGAACATTTGTCAACAGAAGAGTGCTATGAAGTCAGTCATTTGTGAAAGGCTTATGATACAAACAACATTTGCATAGGGAACAATAAATTAGAGATATTGGCCAGTAACTGGAGCTTGAAAATTTAAACATTTGGAATGAGGATATAAAACCCTTTTGTATTTCTTGCTGGTTTTGCACCTTTGATGTAATGCTGAAAGCAGTAACTATATATGTATATACAAATCCATGTCCTCTCTTTCACTATTTTCTAATTAAAATGAGAACCTTCTTACCTGTGGCCCAGATCTTGTAGTAATTAATCTGCAGTAAGAAAAGGAGAGTAATTGTAGTGTCAAAGACCAGCTGGTTAAGGGGTTGGGGACAGTACTTTTTCTGTTTTGTTTTGTGTTCTTTTTTTAAACTAATGCAATTGAGATAAATGCGGGCTGCAAAGATTAGATCCAGGTCCAAACTGGATCCATATTAGTGGTTTACCATACTATAGAGAAAATGGATAGCTATGGAGTTCCATACTGGACAAACTGGACACAAGTACGACTTCAGATCTCTCCTAAAATCAAAGGAATAAGGATTATACGTAACAGGATTTTCAGGTACAAACTCACTGACTTTGGTGCAGTATATCCACCCACTCAAGACCTGTATTTTGCATCATCCAAAATAACTGTGATGGGCAATCATTCCTTGAAGAACCACCACACCAAACTAACCAACGAGCATCAGAACTTTTAAAGGGGAAAAGCAATTTAGCAAATAGAGAATATTTGTGCCTCTACTGATAGAAGCACTTGGTAAAGTACTGAATCTCTGAACAGTTATTCAAGTTTTTAGAGAGCCCAGAGCTTGCTCTTCTGTTAGGCCCTCATTGCAGTGCAGCATCCAAGTGAGCTATAAATTAGCTGGCTCCAAGACTGGTAGCAGTCCAGCTGCTGCAGCACAGGGAGCTCAGCACAAGCTGCAAGATCACGTCAAAGTACATTCATGGCTGGCCAAGCTGTGCTGAGCTCTGTTCTGCCACAGTAGAGTGTTATTGATAACCAAGTTAGCTAGTTGTTTAAAGCAAGCTTAGACATTTCTACATCCTACTGGCATCACAGTAGTTACTGCACTGTAGAAATGTACTTCCTCAGCTGTAGCTTCCCCTTTTATTTCCTCAGAGCATGATGGAGGCTAGAAAGGCAAAATTGCATTAGCAGGAGAAATTAAAGATGAGAATCTAGGTCTGGTTTCTAGAGCCACTTTCCTATGAGAATTTTTATTTGTAATTTTTTCCATTAAATGCTTTAGGAACATCTCTATTGTTCCCCCTAAGGAAATAAACTTTGAAAAGAAAAGCCTGGCAAACTCATAAATAAGTGCTGCAGAGCTTTTGAAACATTTGCAACATCTTCCATCTTGGCTTCTTTTCTTCTCCCAGCTGATCTTTGAGATGACTGTTCTAAGTAGCATCAGGATGCCCTTGTGTTCTCTGTTGGCAACAAGACCAAAAAAGAAAAAAAAAAGGTTATGGGTATAAATGTCCCCCTGCCCTCTCCTGTCCTTTTTGATCAATACAAAAACTTTAAATATAGTAACATATTCCTTAGAGCACTGTACAATGAGCTAATAAATACTCACAGTTCCCCGCAGAGATATTAGTATTACCTTCATCAGATAAAAAAGGAAGTAAGACAGCGGGACATTTAGGTTAACAATTACAGGCTAGACTGCAATGCTGCTAATCACCAACATCTGCAACTGGGCGCTTACTGATAAAAGTTGGATTCTTAAGGGAACTGCTGGCACTCAACGAAATCTGAAAATCAGATCCCTTATTTGCTAGTAGATGCTTAGCTGCCACAATTAGGCCCCCATCTTCAGTCCCACAAGAATGAAAACCTTTTCCTAAGAAGCACTTGGGTATCTCAACAATGAGCAATGCAGCATTCAATTTTTAGACACCATGTTTCTACAAGAGTCTGCTCCTTTGAATAGGTTATCTTCAGGGACATAGAAACCTGGCACTGAGAACCACAAAAGGCAGCGTGCAGATAGAGGAGTCCTCTATGCTAGCCAATGAGAAAGGGCAAAGAGAGATCCCAAACTTCATTGTCTTTACATTATATGACAGAAATAATTCTGTCCACTGAGGATTCACAACTGTCAAGTCTTTCCTGACATCAGTTGCCAAAGCAAGTCTTCCTCCAACAAATATCTGCTAAGAGTACGTGGTGGCCTCTAACCTAATAGTTTAGTCTGTCAGCACTGAGGCGCCTAATTCCTTTTGCGGACTTACCCCCAAAGGATTTGCCCCATGAGTCAGAGGCAGGAATTCCTGGTTTATAATTCAATGTTTATTTCAGAGTATCACCTTGGTTTTCATATCCTGACTGCCTGAAATCCCCCCACAATTTTAAATGGACACATCCTTCATCTTCATTTCCTGTCTGAAACTATTGTGCCATGTTACTGTGCACAGTTAAATACATGCCAGGTCCCCCTTCGGAGCTGGCTATGTTGTGCTGGTAATGTGAAGTAATTCCTTTACCACTGAGAATTTACAAAATACTTTTGGGATCACTTGAGTAAGACAAGAAAGTTGCTGAAAAAAACCCAGAAATTTCTCTGAATAAATTTAAATTGTACAGGTTTCTGTCTCAGAGGGTACATTCTGAGGTTGAACAAATAGGCAGCCAAATGTACACTATGTCCTGACTGAAGCTGCCAGTCCTAGGACAGAATCAAACAAACAAACACACACACACACATCTCAGAGGTAATAGGGGAGGAGGAGGTATGAAGTCAGAATGTACCGCTGAGGTAAATTTGACACAATACCAATTAGTATTTGGCGAAGTGGCTATCTCATTGTTAAGATATTTCCTTCAATATGTTTTCAGAAACTGGGACCATTAAATAACTTAGAAAGATTGCCAGCTCTGATTTCAGGAAGGAAACCTCCTCCCATTTCCTCTCTAAGTAATTCATTTCTTTTGCAAATACTTCCTATGGATGGCATTTAAGATACAAATTTCTGAAACAGAGGAGAAAGAGGGAAGCAACCCCCAACCCAAAACTTTAGGTTCATTTCTAAATGACCTAGAAGTCCAAGACATTCAGGTTCAAGGTACTCTGGACTGCAAATCAGTCAGAACCTGTACTGCAATTGGGCCTTTATATGATTCAAATAATTCAAACTTTAACTGATTGTTTTTCTAACACACCACCTTTCTTGACATAATACAAACACTTTCGATACCTCTTTTCTAAAAATAAATTGAGCTCAATTTTATAATGGTGTCTCAGTTGAAGATGAAGCAAAGTTCCTAAACTTCCATGCTGGTTTATATCTATTCTGACAGAAACCATGTAGGGGCAAATGCACAAGAACAATGCTAGCACTCATTAAAATGATTTGCTTCATGTTTCTTTGCCACAGTGCAGTACTCTGTTTTGCCTGTGACTTCTGGAATATCAATGCAGAACTGAATAAGTTAAGAGTTTATCTGAGGAGTGGAACCAACATTGTCATTTGAATTTAGAGAGTGAAAAGGACAGCAGGATCTGATGTCAAGTCTCCACCATCATTACTGAAACAAAAAGGTTGTGTGTCCTCCTGTCTCTGAAAACATAGCTCTTAGCAAAACACTACTCTCTCTGCTGTGGTGCCCTTTGTCCCACACTTCTGGAATACCTATTACTTCCTAAACAGAGTCAAGTTCTACAAGTTTTTTTACAGGTCACTATAGCTAAGTAATCCATCTGGCATTTCGTGTGATTAAGATGCCAGTTGACCAGCCTAGCTCCTGAAGCCTCCTTTCACTTACAAATTAAGGGAGTAGCAGATGGAAAGCAACTTCACCTCTGAGCCAAATACTTCATTTGGCTATAAAGAAGCAGAACAGCTGGGGAGGAAGTTTAAGCCACTCGATCACTTTGTAAGGAGCATTTTCCTTTCCATGAGTAGGATCAACAACCCCTCTTTTGGATGAAAACATTGTGTGAAAATGAGCTACAGAAAAAAACAGTTACAAGAAAATAATGATAGAAAGCACCTTAGTAGCTCCCTACCTCTTCTATACTCATCTATGTTGCCTGAAAAGTCCTGAGAGGCAAATAGGGGGAAAGGAAAATCTATAAAGGAATTTATCTGTCCAGTCCAACTTTAGGTCACTCATCTGGAGAGTTCAAAAGAGGGATGGTGCTGCTTTTTGTCCCAGGCTTTATTGGGAATAGAAGTGGGAATTTAAGAAGCAGAATATGGGGATCTGGTTTTTTGCTATGTCCTTTAAAGCACTAATAATTCAAAAAAAGGAATAGTTACTAAATAGTTACTATGTTAAGTACATGAACAGTATCTAAGGAGGGGACAACGTCACAGACGTGAACTGAGTAAGGCTACTTCTAGGAAAACTCAAGTAAGATGTGCAAGTATTATAAAGCTGACTTGTCTTTGGGGTGTTTCTGAAAATGGGATTAGTTTTACAGAGTAACTAGTTTTATTACTCTCCTGCTGTTAACAGGAGTTTGTACACACAACGCAGAAAACACTGCCCTCAGCTGACATTCTTCTCTCTTGAATCTAACATTTCTTCATAGATTGTCTGGTTTAGCAAGCTTTAATAGCCCAATTAATTATGATTAAAGTGATTTACATGGGGTAGTTAGTGTATTTTCACTGAAGCAGCCTCATTATACTTCCATGGAGAGATTTTCTACTTACTTTTGGCCACAGGAAAAGAAAACAAAAAAGTCTTCATAAAACTTTAGTCTTTCATCCAATGTCCATTATAAATTATGTAGTGGAAAAAAAATTGACAAAAACTCCTCCCTGAGCTTACACCAGATGTCTATCACAGCCACTCTTGACCATTTTTCCTTTTGTGTTGGACAGGGACAAACTTTCTTCTGCGTGACTCTCCAAGGAATGCCTGGTATAACCCAGAGGAGGGTTCAGCTCAATTTATTTTTAGAAAATTGAGAGCAAAGAATAAAAACAAACCTTTAAACTAAGAGAGACAATGATACTATAAACCCTACTGGCCTGTTAATATATGTCTGTTTATTGTAACACAATCTATGACCTTCAGTGCACTGCCAGTGTCTGTAAATAATACAATGGGCTGCTTTTTATCCCATGGGGATGTGAGTACTGATGGAGCCTTTCAAAACTCAAATGGATGCCATAAGCTGACGTAGACTGTGCTATTGTGATTCTTATTTATGAGTCTCTCTCTCTCTCTTTCTTTTTAAGTACAAGTTCCAAAGTCACAAAGTGGATGGCAGAAAAAAGACCTGGTCTTCATGGTTTGAGGATGGATGAGGTAGCTTATCTAACATTCATACAAGTACTCCTGAAATGTAAGTTCTCTGCCTCTTAGACCTCTTCAGAGCAGAGTAACAGCTCATTCAAGACTTTTTTTTTTTTAAATCCGTATTTTTTCACTGGCTTCTTAGCCCTATAAAGCTGTTCACCACCTACAGAACCTTCACAAAACTCCTAATTGTTTAGCTGAGATCCTCCATATATGGATGGTACTATTCCAACCTCTCGGTTAGAACAGCATAACTGTGACATAGCTATGTATTCTGAAGTAAAAAATTGCTTGCTTTTAAAATCTCTTACAAGGTCTCAGTTTTCACCACCAGCCCTTAGAGTCATCCCACTTGCTATACCAGTGGATGAAAATGAACCCAGAAGGAAACAGTCACAGACAGTGACTTCTGCAAGTTCAGGTGATCCACCATTCCTCCTTAGTTTAACTCTTCATTTCACATCTTAGGAAGGACCTCACTTCTCTGGATATTCCAATCACAGAATGTATGTGTGTGCATGTGAGCAGGCACACCCTGCGGAGATTCAGTGGTACTAAACACCCTATAGATTTTACAGACTAGACTGGAACAACAGCTCTGTCCCCAGTGATACATTAACCAGCTTAGCAGGTTTTCATATGCAAATCTTGAGTGCCTCAGGTCCATCAGGAACCTGAAGCAAACAGCAACCATCCCCAACCTTGTGCCATTCTGTCAGCATGAATACTTGTGGCACATATCCAAAGCTGTGCCGGTGTTCAACACAAATTCTTGGAAGATCATTACTTGTCATCTACCTCCTGTACCAACACTACCAAATATCAGTCAGTTCCATGGACTTTTAAAGCTGACCATTCTATAAATGTAGTACTGAAAGCCTGATTAGTAAGAATGTATATGAAGGGATTGCCCCCTAGCTGTCCAGTAAAGGTCCTGAACACAAGTAAACAATTAAAACATAGCAACACTTGAACACTATCTCACTAGATACAAAATAATGTCAATCCAATTTCCCTATATTTAACTGCTTGCATAAAATGTATACTTACAGAATGCCTGTTTTCCACAGAATCTGCAAAATAAAATATAATGTATAAATTATGAAATGGCACATTGCAGAGCGATCAGTTCTATGTTCCAGAAAACAGACTTTTATGTTTCATTTAGGGTTTTTTTTTTCACCTTGCAATGATGTAAAATTGCTACCTACAACTAAGGTTCAAGCTCTGGTCCTAAGAAGTATCCAAGCGCTAGCTTAACTGGGTGGGACCAGACATTTCAAAGACCATGTTGAATAGTACGTGTTTGACAGTTTTCCTTTAACCTGGATTATGGTTTAGAGCAGAAGTCTCTACTAAGAGCACAAGCTGTTACTGAACAAAAAAGAGTCTTCCTTTTTAGAGGCAAGCTCTCATGAGCATTTTACTTCCTCTTTCCAATTCCTTGCCAGGAAAATAACGTACTGCAGAAATCCGGTATAGGATACAATTTTCAGAGCCAAATAAGATCCTGCAAAGACACCTGAAATTTTATTAAGAAAAAGATGCTTGTTCCCAACGAAAGTCTGAGAGCCAGCAGGCTCTCATGTAGGATCAGTGAACTTTAAGATTAGATCTTAGCCTTTTTTTAAAAAAAGTGGATGTAGCTATTCAGAAGTTTCACAGAATACCTTCAAATACTAAAACATAAATATTTCTTTACCCTCTGAAAGTAAAGCAATCTAGAGACATGAGGAAAGTAACTCTGCTTTTAGAAGAAGACTTCAAGTCTCGTTAAAAGTGTTCTTTTATATGGTCTGTTAAGATATTTCACACGTGACAAAAGTAAGTGCTGAATCTTGAAGTGTATTTTCTTGGAAAGTGTATCAAATTCAGTGGAGAGAGGTTGTGTCAAGGAAATTAATCTAATGCTCATAGCAGAAGATTTGGACTAGGGGTCTGGGGTAATCTTGCCAGTATTTTTTCTATAAACGTGGGATAGTATCTGAATCTATGTTTTTTCTAAGTATGTATTTTTTAAATCACAAATGATAACATCAATCCTCCCATAGGCAGAACACTTATGTAAATTTTGAAAAGTTGTCTGAAATCATCAGATGAAGGATATTATGAAAAGTACTACTACCATAAATAGACCTTAATAAAGGTCTTTTAGAAACTCCCTTGCCAGCCAGCAGAAGTAATGAGGAAACTGAACACAGGTGAATCTAACTCCACAGATAACAATGCTAAAGTTTCTTTTTCTCTCTCCTTTGTGATAACATCCATGTATATTTGTAATGTAGTTAAACTGGTACACTTTCTACCATCCACATTTTTATTACATTAGGATTGTGATTCTGCTTCACTGAAAGCAGCACCATGAATACAGTATAGAATTGGGCTGCAATTTCTGAAATACAGAGACTACATGAATATTGGTGGCACTGTACACTCTGAGTTTTCTCCAAGATAGTTCTACCCAGAACTTTTAACCTAGGAAAAGGATTAAAAACTGACATGACTACAGCACCTTATACCAGCGCATAAACTTAATTCCAGTATATAATTGATCTCAATGTTTGGCAAGATTGATCCCTATACGTTTAGCCAGTTTGATAAGAAACAAAACAGAAAGTTACATGGGAAACACATAAAACCTTTCTGTGTCCTGAAAGCTGACAGAAGTGAACAAAGACACTGGTGACCCAGTGCTACATCAAAGCTTGACTTTAAGTGGACAAAATTATACGTGAGGTTTATGAAGTGAGGTATTAACGAGCTGTAGTTTAGTTCTCTGTCACAATGTATTGTGCTTACAGGAAGGAGGAAATGAGAAATTTTGTGTAAATTCCAGACTTCAAACAACGGGATGTTTGCTACCCCAAAGTTACTAGGTCACAATAACAGATATCCCGCCTCCTTGTTATCTGTCACCCAGATTCAAAATAAGGTGGCTTTTTAGCTAAGTATCATATCTCTACCAGGAGAAGGTCAAATCCGTGTCCTTTGAAAGTGCTGCTGGAAGGCTATATGATTTCTAAAAGGTACCAATCAGGTAAGCCAGCATGTAGCCTCTAATGAAAGCACAATGATATGGTGCTTTTGCTGATTCTTTGCTATATCAATCTTTTCACAACCTTTTTATTTCATTCCTGTTAAAAATATGAAGTGTTTTTTACTTGAAACACACTGATTTTCCTGTGATGAAAGAGAACAGAGAGATTTTCAAATGATGTCTGGCCTTCCCTTACTAACAAAAACAGGGAAATGAGATATGCTGGATTCTAGTCATATACAGAAAAATTGGTTAATCTTCCATAGCAGAGCAAACAAGAAGCTGTGTATTTCATGAAAGGAATCAGAGCTGAAGGTCTGATGCTGCTGATTTCTAAGAGATTCCCAAGTGTAATAAAGGTAGATGTTTTTATGGATTTCTGATGGATTTAAACTCTTGCTATTGCTTTTAGTTGGTAGGGGTTTAAATTCAAAGAACACATTTTTATAAAGGAATACATTAATGGCAGGGATTTAAGACACTGTCATCCCCACCTTCTTTGCCCTTTCTCCTTGCTAGAGGTTATGGAGAAGAGAATGTATGCCTAAACAGTTGCAATTCATAATCCATCTCAAACTCATCTCCAACACTGGTGAAAGCTATGCTAGATTATCAACTGAAGATGCTGAACTGCAGACACATACTACATTCTGCCAAGCCTTTTATTGGAGCAGTAGCTTCTAACAGAGAATCTTGGCAGGCAGCTTGCGAGTAGATCTTACACAGGGGCATGCACGCAATTCAGCTTTGCATTTTAGGTTCAAGCAAGGTCAGAAGCTCCCTGCATATTTGTGCCTTACTGAAACCATCTGGCTTTGACTCAGTTTTGGCTGCAGCTATTGTAAGCATTTGGCTCTGGAATCAATGTCTCTCAGATCCAGGCTTTGGTCTAGAATATGTCTTGAAACCTAAAGATCCAAAGAGTTCTTATTTTGGAGAAGGGAAAAGTTATTTGCATTATTTCAGACTGCATGCAACTAGCATGTGCTCATGAAGCCTGAGTTCTGAATAACATAATGAATCCTCAGTCCCTGTGAGTTTTCTCTATGCTGGAAAAGGCATTCAGTGGGAAATTCTGGCTAAGTACAGAGGTGTTAAGCCTGAGGCTCAGTAGCAGGAAAGTATTTGAGCAGATTTCCTGATTGCTAGAACTGATTTCTAACAGTTTGTTCCAAACCACTGAATGGAACGGGGATTTCTCATGCCTCTTTCCACTGGGATGTATTTATTTTTCCATAGTACATTGTTGGTTGCAATAGGATTCTTAGAATTTTCTGTCTCACTCCTGCAGTTTCTTCCAAGTCACCAATTCATTTTTCCAGACTTAGCAGCATAAAGGCTGGTTCTGCATTTTGTTCACTAGATTTCCATTTTCCTAATAAGAAATTAGGAATAGCTATTTTGCAATGAGCCACTGTGAGTTCAATTCAGCACACATCAAGATCAGTGCAAAGCCTATCACTGGCTTCTGTGAGCTTTGGATCTGATACAAGCAAAGGCAGAGTTCACTAAGGAGCAAGAATGTACTAATACATTGTCTTCCACAAGAAGTCCCCCGTAAAACATAAGGAAATCTGTGAGCTGGGGTTGGCTCTAGTCTTCTCAGCAGTATGAATGCAACTGTGCTACCCCAGAGTTGAGGGAAGGGGTGGAGCTGAGATAAAGAACCAGCATGGAGATGCTTGGACTTTCTGCCCCTACTGCCTCTTGGGAGGATGGAAGGTGTGATGGAAGTAAATCATGCATCTAAAAGAGCCTCCACCCACCCAGCTGAACTTAGTATCTGACACATCCTGACCCTTCCCTCAGGAAGAGCATCAGCTGCCAGCCTAGCCTGTTGGGACTCCAGCACATGCAAAGTAGGCAGCAGGGCCACAGGTATTTTATCATTCTTGGCAGCCTGTTGATTTAGACAATTGCCTGGTTTCCCTGAGTCTCGGACTGTCTCTGTTCTTTCTGAACAAAAAGCAACAGCTCTGGGACTGGACTGGATATTCCTGACTCCCAATATACTTTGGCCTTTTCATAGAGCAACCAGAGAAAGCAGTATTTTAAGGAAACTGGTTGATCTTGATAGGTGTGAAGGACTTTTAGACAAAGGTGTTACTGACCTGACTGGTATTAATTGTGGCCATTCCCCAAATTGCCATTTGGATGTAAGGTTTGATGTAAAGCTGAGGCTTGAAGCTTTAAGTATTTTATGTAAAATACTAAAGTAACAGCCTATTTCTCTAGAAAAGGTTTAAAATCAATACCTCGGTGAAATTCCTGAACACTAACTCTTCTTTCTCTGAATTAAACTAACCTTTCAATAACAATGCAAGGAGAACTTCATCCCCTTGAGTTGCTTCCAGAGACAATGCTAGTGATCTGCATCCTCCTTAAATCTCTCATTGTATCAGAGGAAATCTAGCATCCAACTAAAGAGACTGACATTCTCTATCTACAGTACTATTATTTGACTTTCAATCAAAATACACCTGACTAGACTTGAATTTCACAAATGACCTGCTTTTCCTACTGTTAACAGGTTAACTGTAGTTAACCACATGCAGGTCTTCTGGGATTTCAAATGTGCATTTGACAGTTTGTTTCTGTCTATCTTTAATGTAACACCTCTTTAGGCCTGGTACTCAGAATAAGGAAAGTAGCACAGCAGATAGATAGGATGGGAAGTCTTACCATAGTGTGATGGAGACACTAAAATGATAGCAACAGGAGATAACATAGCCAATACCAGGAAAACAAAAAGAAAAGGAATAATGGCAGATGCTCAGCACACTGCCAAAGGCCTGGGTCTTGGGAAAGGTCAGAGCATTATCTGCACTATGGATTCATGACTTTGGATAAGGACAAGCAATAGCTGTAGAACTCAAAATACAAGAGAAGTTGCTTACTGACATGGCATCTGCCTTACTGGGGACAGCAGTAGAGCCGTCAGAAAAATGAAGAGGAAAAATATTTTAGCTCAGTCACAAAGAATTGCATCAGACATAACAACTACTGACAGCTCTTCAGCTTCCTCTCTAGTGGACA